CAGCGGGCCGCTCCCAGCAGGGGTCCCAGGGCTTCCCCGGGCGGCTCCAAGGCCATGAGGCCCTGGCTGTGCTTCTCCCAGGGGGTGGGGCACCCGGGCACAGGGCCAATCAGGAGCCCTGCAGGAGGTAAGTCTGCCTGAGAGAGAGAGAAGGGAAGCGAAAGTGCCTCTCTCTCTCTCTCTGTGCAAATGGCGGAGGAGGCCATGCGGAGATGGATGTGGAGCGGTGTCTCGGTTCCTAAGACCATCGGAAATATGTGTTTTCCGATGGTCTTAGGCGACCCCTGTGAAAGGGTCGTTCGACCCCCAAAGGGGTCACAACCCACAGGTTGAAAACCGCTGATCTAGAGGAACCAAGCAATGAGTAAACAGCATGACTTAACAATAGAGTGGCTGGGAGAGAAAAATATTTAGTTTTCTCTGCAGAATATTAGCAATGACTTGGAGCAAGTGGGCAGCTGGTGAACATTCGGGCATTAAGTGACTTCATCTGTCATTTCTGCATGATAGCAACCAATGATTTACAAGCATCAGCAGAACAATGTTACTTCAGTCAACAGCATGGGTATCAACCCATTCATAGTTTTCCCCATTTTTTTCTCGCCAGTTCTCAAGGTTGATTCTTTGTTTCCTTCGTTCCTCAACTAGTCAGGATCTACTTATATCCAAGCAAATAGAAATTTTTCACCCTTCCTCACTCAATCTCAACATCATTGAGATGTTGGCAGACATGTCTTCATCTGTGGTCCTCTTCTGTGAAAGTCTGAAGGCGTTCTTTCTCTTCCTGAACCTTAGGCATGGAGAGGGCAGGGATGCCCAGCATAAGCAATGTCCATAAAAATGGGCAAAGCTTTCTTTGTACTGGAGTGGCCACCAACTTGATGACTTTGGCCACACTCTTTGGACACCATTTCAGTCTCTACTACGGCAAGACAGGACCAGAAAACAGAAGATCCAGTGAGAGCATCTTCAATGAGACTGTTTCCAAAGATTAGCCAAACCAGGGGAGTTTTGAGCATCTCATCCATTTGCAGGTAGCCAAGGAAGCACCCACACCGGTTATACACCATCAGAAGTGTTGCCCAGAAGCAACCTCCTTGTTTACAGCAAATGGGTTCACAATTGAGGGCCCAGCTCTGCTACATGAAGAGTAGCAGGGAAATCTGGGAGCCAAGCGGGGATTGTCACCTGACTACAAGACGTAGTCCAGGATAAGCAGAAGGCAAAAATGCAATGTTTTGTTGCATGCCTCTCAATGTTCTTGATCCAGTGCCAAATCAGATATGTTTGAGGATCATTTTACCATCTCTTGTTCCCACAAGTTTGAAAGGGTTATTTTAAAAAATGGTCAATTCTACTGGGACTAGAACATGTTCTACTCTCCACTATAAATAGACACAGATATAGAATGAGGAAGAGAAAGAGGAAAGTTTTTTCCGAAAAAAAGTATTTGAACTCATTTCCCCCCAAATGTAAATTTTTCCAAAAAGGGGCCTTCAGCTAGATGAGAAAAAAAAAAAGAATGTTTAGAGAACGGCTGCAGGAAAACGACCTTACGCTGCCCAGCACAAAGACAAGCTTCCTCCTCCAGATTTCCCTTGCTCTGGCCGGGTCACTCATGGGAATTTATGTAGATCCTGGATTGCGGATGCTGTGGAGGAAGAATTGCACGTATGAACCAACTGGGAGCTGCAGTGATACTGACTTCCATGGTACCAAATTGGCACCAAAATATTTTGCTGCTCAAATAGGGGACAAAATAGTCCCTCCCTACAGGGAGAGGGAGGGAGGGAGGGAGAGAGAGAGAGAGAGAGAGAGAGAGAGAGAGATACACAAGTCCATTGAAAGATGAGTCTGCAACCTTTGATTGATGGTTCACTGATCTCTGTCTGTCTCACACATCCCGCTAAGCCAGTGGTTCTCAACCTTTCTAATGCCACGACCCCATAATACAGTTCCCCATGTTGTGGTGACCCCCAACCACTTATACATCACCGGGTACCAGGGGCGTGGCCAAAGAAAAGGGGGAAAAAATGGCAGACAGCCTTGTTTGGCGACCCCCGTGAAATGGTCGTTCGACCCCAAATGGGGTCCCGACCCACAGGTTGAGAACCACTGCGCTAAGCTGAGTAGCCAGTAAATCTCCACTTGAGAAGAAAGGTGTAGGTAGCCCTCACCTTACAACCATAAGGGAGCCCAGGATTTCCATAAGTCATGACAGTCATTAATTTGAAGCAGCCACATGTCCAAACGCAATTTCAATTTCAAAAAAAAATTTTGGGGGGAGCAGTTGTTAACATTGTATTTCTATCGGCGGTTTTTTGTTGGAAAACACTTGAAAAAGCCAAAACCTGTCAAAAGAATGTAAATCACAATCATAGGATTGCAGAACATGGCAACCAGGTGAGCCAGTGGCCAAAATGCAGTCATGTGACCGCAGGAGTGTGCGTGAAACCATCGGGACTCTGGAACCAAGTCATAAGTAGCTTTTGAGGGGGTGTTGTAATTTTGAATGGTTGCTAAGGAACCGGTCGTAAGTTGAGGACTACCTGTACCTTTAGGGAATGGAAGAACGAAGGCACGGACCCACCAATTGAGATGTGATTCAACAAGTGATTACAGCAGAATGACAAATATAATTGGGGAATGTTCAGTTTCTTGGTTTAATGGCCATGATTTAGGGAACAGATTGCCTGACACTTCAGAGGCCAAGTGGTCTTAGGAGGCAAGAAGAAACCACCATGTACCATCCAAAGCTTTTCTCAGTTGGGGAGGGCATCATATTGCTTGGGTAGCCCCAACAGGGAGACTTAAGTAACAGAAAAAGAGATTTGGAAGGAACCTTGGAGGTCTTCTAGTCCAGAGATCCCCAACCTTTTGGGCACCAGGGACTGGTTCCACGCAGAGAGGTTTTTCCGCGGACTGGAGGGTGCATGGTTTCGTGTGCTGCCTGCATCTCGCAGATGGGGCTTTGTTTGTTTGTGCAGACTGGTTACTGGCATGTCGTGACCCGGTACCGGTCCACGGACCGGGGGTGGAGGACCCCTGTTCTAGTCCAACCCTTCGCTCAAGCAGAAGAATCTATACCAGAATCTATACAATTGTTGTCCAATCTCTTCTTAAAGACCTCTAATGACGGAGCACCCACAACTTCTGGAGGCAAATCGTTACCCTGATTAATTGTTCTCACCATCAGAAAATTTCTCCTTAGTTCTAAGTTGCTTCTCTCCTTGATTAGTTTCCAACTATGCCCCAAGACAGCCTCTATCTCCTGCCAAGGGTGTTCAACAGACCATGCTTTCTCTGGAAGAAAGCAAATGATTCTGTTGAAGATAAGCTGGGTCTGTTTGCAGTGGTCTTGTAATCATCCTCAGGAAATTTCCACAAAGCAGTTTAGGAGGTCATTAGCCAACCACATGGCTCTTTATGGAATATCAGTGAGGGCACACAGGCAAATTTTGAAAGGACAGACTGTTCTATCACAACTGTAAATTAGGGTTATCTTGGGTGTGTGTTGGATTACCTCAACAGATAGCTATGTCTCAAAAGTTCTTCTGATGTCCGGTTCAGATTCTTTTATTTAAGATGAAACGAGTCAGATATGTATTTTTTTTGCTTTTTTGCTTGTTTCATTTTGATGGCTGTAGATGGGGCTTCTCAGAGAAAATAAAGATGCTTAGGGAACAATGAAGAGGGGACAAAGACAGAAAAACTCCTTCATTTTACCATCAGGTTAAAGGGAGGAAACTGGGGAACAATACAACCCAGTTCAGCAAATGGCTTAAATTTTCATCTTCAATTTTTTTTCAATTCAGGCTAGCGATTTTAAGACCTTGCTGAAGGATACGCTCCATTATAACAGAAGAGACCGAGATTGCAACTCTTCTACCGCAAATGTTTCCACACCAGTTGAGTGTGTTTTTAGAAAGTTCACCAGCTTTTTCTTCACTTATCTTCACATCCCAGTCACCTTTTTCTGGTGGAGAGTTCCATAGTGACTCACTTGTCTTTGTTCTGCCATCTTGGCCAAATTTTGCAGAGACTTGCAACTAGACACCCCGGCCATAATATTCTGGTCTGGCTGGATTTCAGCTGTGCTTCCAAAGGGATTTCCCCTTCTAGAAGCAATTTTTGGAGTTTAACTCAGAGCAGCACCCACGATACAGAAAAAGGACTTTCCCTTTCAGTTTCAGATTAGGGATTAAATCCAGGAATGGGGAGGACCAACTGCAAAGCTTCATTCAGATGCTGGAACCTTTTGCAGAAAAGGATACTGACATTATAACCCCCCAAGAGCTACAGAAAACAAATTTCCTTTGATATGATCAAATTACCAAATAATTGAACTATAGCTGCCTTAATGTACTTTAGATTTGCCTTCCCTAGCTGTGTTTGATAAGCAGTGATTCATGGCATATTAAAGGAATCCAGTAGTTGGGATTTGCTCAACAAATCATAGCGTAAGCTCTCCAGAACCTCCCAAGCGATTTGCCAAGGCTGACCTTTCAACCTAGCTGGGATTCCCACGCCATTTCCCACCACGTTCTTTCTGCAACCTGTTGACCCGGAAAGCATAGAGAACTTCCCACATGTTCAGAAATTAAAAGGGACCCAGAGAATATTGTCTCTTGAAAAAAAAAAATTAAGAAAGAAAAAGAGTAGCAGGATATAGCTCTTTTTTTTTTTTAAATTGATCAAGTCGTTTACATAATGCGAAATTCACCCAAGCAACTAAATGGTCTCTCCAGAGAGGCAGTCAGATTGTGTGAACACAACAACGGCTCAGGAAGGGGACTGGAATGGGCAGCAGTATTGGACAAGGCACAGATCAGGAGCAAGCAGCAACCTCTTTACAAACAGAGCAGGCACTTCTGCTATTAAAACTATGCTTATCTTTTCCTCTCTCCAGCTCTCCCTCTAGGGCACTGTGGAATTACCTGCATGTGATAAAAAATTACAGACTGAATAACACCAGAAGGACGTTCTTCAGAGACGGGAGGAACAGACAAGGAAGAATATATTTTATTCTAACTTCTCTTAAATCCTCAAGTACAGATCAGGACGTGCAAAGCCTTAAGTCTTCAAAGGTAAAAACAGAGAACACTCTTTCTAGTCTGCAGATAAAAAGGACTGGATTAAACAACAAGGTACATCTCCCAACCTGCACCCAGGTAAATTCAGGAGGATGGTTTAGCATACCCTCCCCAGGCCTAGTAACCTTTAGAGAAGATAAACCTAAATCTTTCAGCTGTCCCAGGTGGGGCACTAGAAACCTTTAAAGCAGGGGTCCCCAAACATGGCAACTTTAAAGGCTTGTGGACTTCAACTCCCAGGCCAGCATGGCTGGTTGGGGAATTCTGGCAGTTGAAGTTCACAGGTCTTAAAAAATTGCCAAGTTTGGAGACCCTTACTTTAAACCATCACCTCTAATGGACTCCGGGATAGTGAAGGTCTGTTTAGAGCCTCTGTAATTTACAGGAAGCATTTACAAAAAGCATGGGTGTTATAAAAAGAACAGATCCCTCCTTGCATCTGGAAGCTTGCAGCCTATTTTATTTATGACGTTAACTCCAGTTATGTCTCTGGATCCAGCCTGCTGCTATTCACGGATTTTTCTTTTCTGACCTGAACAGAGCCTCCTCTGCATACACACCAGCACAGGCCTTCAGCACTGCCAGCATTAAGGCACTCAGTTTAGCAATTGGTCAATTCCCTCATTTTACCCCTCCAACTCCTAGAATCTTGCAGCCTTTCCCAAAATAAAAAGAACTCTCAGTTAGTTCTCTGCTAGAGTTAAGCACTGCTTTGACAATTTAATTCTAAGCTTTAAAATTAGATTAGAAAAACAAAACACAGAAGACTTTCAAGTAAAACAAAGTTAAAAACCAGCATAGACAATGGCTGGGGTTTTAATGTTTCCCCGGCTGTGGATGCAGATGAAAAATAAAACCGATTGCATCAATGAATAAAAATAGCTCCTCCTTTTGTTTTGAAAGAAGAGAACAAAATGTTGCAAGATTGGTCAAAGGACAGCAGAGGTCTAGGCTCTGATCCTCGCCCACCTGTAGCCAGGGAGACACAAACTGCAGCAAATTCTACTATATATAACATTCCTCTTGTAAACTGATGGTAAATCTTCTCAATAGAGATTTCTACCTTGAATTCGGATGGCACACACAATAGCCCTTAAAAACCTGCTGTTGAGAATGTTTACAGCTGACTTTGACATCCCAAACTAGCAGGATAGGAACTCTGGTTTTTCAATGCTGGAAAAATCTGATTTGTGCAAAGGGAAGTTTAGTGCCCTGAAGGCTTTGGACTGGAACTGCACAATCTCCAAAGACAGGTCAAACACCATCTCAAAGGAGAGCTGATAGGCATTACTCATGACGGACACTGAGCCCTGGGCCAGCCCGTTTTAGCAGCACCCAACTTTTCCAAGGGAGTCTCAGCCTTCTCAGCAAACCTTCTTGGAAAAAGAGACATTCTTAAAATCAGCAGGGTTTGGTAACAAACAAATATGCCACAGTCTCAAACACCTCCTCTGTGAAGGCTGCTGCAATTGAGCCTATTTGCATAGCTGGGATCCAGCCACTTTGCACTGCGGTTTCAACCAGGTTCCATTTAAAGGCTATCAATAATTCAGCCATTCCCAAAAAACGGAATAAAGTTCTTCGGGATTTCAGCCTCAAGATTTTTCTTTCCAATTTAAACATTAAAGAAAATAACTGATTCTACTAGGTGTGGGCACTTATCGCCTGCCCATTGGTACACTCAGGGCTGGCCTTCCAAGCAGTCCTGTGGATATTTAATGACTGCCTCTGAAAACAACAACATCTCTTCACCCAAGAGTCAAGCAAAGCACTGTAATCACAACTGCCTTCTTTCCTTGGAATTATCCTTACACGATTTACAACAGGGGCATCCCATCTTGGCAAATTGAAGACCTGTGGACTTCAACTCCCAGAATTCCCCAGCTAGCCATGCTTTCCACAGATCTTCATGTTACCAAAGTTGGACATCCCAATCTACAATGTCTCCTTAAAAGCCACAGCAATTCTGCTTTCCAGAATTAAATTATGACATCTAGAACATGTTCTAAAACCAGTTCAGACTAAGAATCATAAAAGCCTTTTCACTGGCCAAACCCATCAGTTTCACTTTTACCTTCCACTGCTGCTTATAAGAGCCATTTGCTAGCTAGCAGAGTGTAGTTGGTACTATTAGGTTCCCAAAATTATCCTCAAAAGAGGAAGGAAGAAGGGAATTTGAGTTGTGCAATAGAGTTGGAATGTACTATTTTGCATAGATAGATAATCTGTGAAAATTGCAAGCCCGTAGGTGGAATATGATCTTTCTTAATAAGCTAATCTATGAAGCATCTATGTGCTCTTCAATAAGAGCTAGAATCTAAGACAATAGTTGTACCTTGTGAAATTTTCCAATGCATGGCTGCATACTCTGGATAAAAAAACAGCCATTAGACTCTTTTAGTCTCGCATCTGAATATGGTGCATGATTTCACCACCACCTCTTACAACAGGAAAGTTTCCCAACCACCGGTATTTCTGTGATCAGCAATCAGGGTATGTTTCTTTTTTTTCCCCCCTTATGAAAGCAAGAAACCATAAAAACAGAAGTGCAAAGAAACAATTCATAGCATTTTTCAGGTTCCGCTAACTGCAATTACTGTCTCTGGAAATTAAAAAAAAAAGGGGGGGGTACTCAGTGTTGACACCAAGAGCCATTACCAGCTGTTACAGAGGTCCAAGGGCCAGAGACCTCTTGTGCTTTGGCAAAAAGCACGTGGGAAGGAGCTCAAGCTGCTTCTTCTGAAGCTCACAGGTAGACGTTGAGAGTCTGCAAGATCATCTGTCTGCACAGAGGGCAGTTCCGTTGGTAGATGGCCTGCTGCAGCAGGATCTCAGTGCATTCTTGGCACAGGCAAAGGTGACGGCAGGGCAGTAAAAGGACTGTCTTGGTTTGATCCTGGCAAATGACACATTTCTTCCGTTCTTCTTGTTCTTTAAGAAGCCGCCACGGGTCATTGTCTTCTTCCAAAGCATTTAGTTGCTCTTTTTTTGCTGTTTTGGTCTGGGATACACTTGGTCCTTCCCCCTGAGGCTGAAACTGTTGTGTGGCTGTTCCCAGATCATTGTCCATTCTGGTCTGGTCCCTGCTACCTCTTTGTCGGGGACGTATGATCACCGTTGGCCCTTGTCTTCGTGGATATGGTTCTTGTGGAGCCAGTCTCTGTCCCACAGCAGCTCCCCCTGCTCTTTCTTGGGGAGCTTCAAGCACCAGCTGCGGTTCTTGTTCTCCATGCTGGTTAGCTGCCCAGATGTTCCTGTTCCAACTGAGCACCTGAAGGCCCCAGTCTGCCAACCTATGCCAGGTCTGGGAGCTCAGCAGCATCTCCAGGGACAGGAGCATGATGTGATAAAGGCGTTGCATGTCTCTGAGCAAGCGATGGTAGGAAGGCATCGTGTTCAAATAGCCAGCCACTTGGTTTGCCAGGGTCCAAGTCAGCTGTGGGTTCAGGATAAAGATGCTGATGGCAAGTACCACAGAGACCAAAACCATGCCATACAGGTTGACAAAGAAGACGTTGATCAGCAGTTTGCTCACTGAGGCCAAGAGATCAACAGCCAGTTGACAGGGAGTCCACAGGAGAATGGCCGTAGCAATGGCACTGCTGGAGAGGCGTGCAAGGAAGGCAACCAGCAGGTCTGTGATCCTCAGAAAGGGGCCAACTATAGTATCCCACAGGGCCAGCCCTACTGCAAAAAGGTTCTGAGTTCCAATGAGGCAGATGTTGATTATGCTGTTCATGAAGTAAGCCACAAGGCTCATAGCTATGGCGCACACTTCACACATCTGTCTCAGAAGCGTCTGACCAGAGCCAATCAGGTTCCAGAAACCTCGGTGCACAATTTCTTTGCTCCTCAGGCCCAGGTGGGTGAAGAGGTGACCTAGCACTTTCAAACTCTCCATGCTGGAACAGAATCCTCTCAACAAGTTGACAACTGCGTGCACAGAGCCCAGAGTCAAGTAGTACAACGCCTCCAGGATGCATAGCACAAGGATCAAGATCCCATTCCAGAACTGGCTCAGACAGGCCACCGTGGCATTGGGCAGATTGTAAACAAAGGCGATAAGCCAGATCAAGGCTGAGAGGGTGGTGGAAACGAGGAAGAAGTTGATATCCAGCAGGATGACCAGCAGATCCAACACCATCCCCATGCCGTTGATCACCAGGAACACTAGATCCATAGCTGAGCTCTCGAAGAATCGGCCAAGACAAGAACCAGCTGAAGCCAACTGCACAGAGGGAGGGGGGCTTCGTAAAGGCAGCAGGAAGGAGAGGCGTGTGTGCGTTTTGCTCCCTAATTTTCTACATTAAAAGGGGGGGGGGAAATGCTTTGGCAACAAGGCAGAAAGTCCGGCAAAGTCTTTGCTCGCTGGGCATCAAGGGGCAAACGGGGCAGCCAATCCAAATTTGGGAGAAGCGCCGTTCATCGTAGTTAAGGCTCCCTTGGATGGACAATCAGACAATTCCTCTCCCCAAAGGGAAGCCCCTCTTGATTCTTTTCTGGAGCAGAGTCCTTGCCCCAAATCAAGGCAGTGGGGCTTGCAAATCACTAGGTCCCATCCAGGGAACCCTGGGCAAGAACCCCAATTGGGGGGGGGGATGCTTTTTCTCTCTCTTCTCCAGCCTCCCCTCGGGGGTCTTCCTGGCCCTTATGATTCAGGTCAGAGTCTGGGGCTCCTTTCGGGGAGGGGGGGGACAGGTCATGCCATGGGTCGAAACCAGGGGACCCTGCGAGGAAGGAGGGCCGCTAGGTGGGACAATGGGGGGGGGCGTCCCGAAAACACTGAGGCGGGGTCTAGGGTGGGGGAGGGGAGGGCCCACGGGAACTCCCTCCCCCCCTAGGGGGGCGGCCCCCCACGTCGTGAAGCGCGGAATCTCGGTCCCTCCGCGCGGAAGGCCGCAGCCTCGTCCTCGCCTCGCCAAGCGGGGCTGCCTCCGTGCCAACCGCGAGGGGCGCCAGCGACCACCGCCCCTTCAGGTACCTCGGCCGCCTCCCCACCAAGCGCTCTCCTCCCTTCTGCTGGGCGCCGCCATCTTGGGGGGAGCGGGCGCCCCGGCGGCCAATCAGCGAGGGCAAACGCGAGGGATGTTGAGTTTCCCTCTCGCCATTGGCCGCAGCGGCTGTTGTTTTCGCCCTTCCAGCGCCGCGATTGGTCCGTTTTGAAAGTCGCCTTCGGGCGGTTGACGTTGCTCCGAGCCGAGGGGGGAAGGAGGAGAGGGGCGTGGCTTCCCTAGAGGCGAGGCCTGGAGAAAGGCGGGAAGGAGTTGGTCACGGGATTTGAGGGACGGGGCGTTGCTCACTCTTTCCCCGCCTCCAAGGGGGCGGAGCTTTTTGCATCTTTGGGAGCCCAGAAATAACAGCAGAAATAATGCATTTTAAACATAGCGGTCGTTGTGAATCCTTTATTTATCTGGTGATACTTTATTCACCATCCATCAGGTCTTCTTCCAACCTTTCTTTCATCTGAGATAGCTTTTTATTTAAATAAATAATAAATTAATAAATCATTAATTTTAAAAAAAACGGGGGAAGGTTTTTTGCAAAAGCTAAGGCATATATTGAAGCAAAAACAATTGCAGATTTCATTTTTTCATCCTGTGGAGATTTCATTTTATTTTATTTTATTTGCCTTTCTGTGAAGGTAAAACCAGTTTCCCCAGTTGGGAGGGGGGGAAGCTCCAGAAGCGTTAAACTCAAATTCTTGCCGGGGTCCTCTAAATCTAAAGCCCCCTTTAAAAATATATATTATTTCCTGGTCTCCTTTCTGATCGTCTGAATTTTTCGCCTTTTAATATTTGACCTTTGCAACTTCGCAAGACACACATCTGAATTTAATTGATCCAGGATAAAGCCTTCCCTTTCTTAAATTCATATTGCAAGAAAAGTTTCTTTTTAGGATTCCCAGCCATGAGAAAAAACAGGATTTTTTTTTCCCAAACAAGAAGCTCTCAGAACCATAGATTAGCATAGTCCATCTTGGCTTCAGCTATTACAGCAAAGAAAGGAGGAGGGAAAATCAGTGCAAAAGGTGTAATTAACCAGTTTCCCTGTTTGCAGAGAACATCTGCAATCTGAGTTTGTTTGCCGTCTACTGGACAAGATGCCCAAAATTCGACCTCTTTAACCTCAAGGACCACAATGAAAAACAGGCCGATTTTCAAACATTTTGGATTGCCTATGAAAGGACAGACAGAAGAAGCTCCTCTTTTACAACTGACTGGCCGATGCCTCTTTCAGAACCAGGAAGAGAACTGTCTGAACTCTGGGAAACTGAGTAAAAGAGAGCTTGATATCCTCAATTTATGGACATTTGTTTATCAACTGTTCAAGTTACAACAGTGCTGGAAAAAGGGACAGGACCAATCCTTACGGTTGTGATCGTTGCAGCATTTCCATGATCACGGGATCAACATTCAAACAATAAACAACCAGCATGGATTTATGACAGTTGCAGAGTCGTAGAGTGATCCCCATTTGCAGTCTTTCCAGCTGGTTTCTGACAAAGTCAACAGGAAAAGTCGAATTCACATAATTACTGTAGCAAAAAAGCTCATAAAACTGGGCATAACTCTCTTAATTATCATATCACTTAGCAATGGAGGTTCCAGTCCAATTGTGATCATAAGTCGAAGACCTTGTCACTGTGTTGAGTTTTCCTAGCAAATTTGTTGGCAAAACAGAATTCAGAAGATCTCCAGCAAAACTGCAAAAAGGATGGAATATTCTCAGCTCAGTTTCCGCCACCTGGCTGATAGGCAGGAAGGCGCTACTGTTAATTTTAAGTCTTTCCTCCAATGCATGCCAAGAACGGAATAGACTTTTCAACTTGGCACGTTCGCAGACAGAGCATTGGAGCAGAATTGTTATTGGAACAGCATTTGCTCACACTGGAAGCACAGGGGATGCTGGCCTTTGGTGGCCCCCACAAGGGATGCCTCCCAAACTCAAAAATCTCCAGTGGACATGTGCCCAAGGAGGAAAGCTGAACTTACTGCTTTTGTTTGGTTTGAGCTGTAACGTGGAAGCATGCTCAGTTATTTTCCTGTGCTCGAGATACCGAGTTAAAATCTGAGACGAGTAGCACAAAACGTGTAAATACTTGGCTTTTGTTTTAAAATTAGCACCCAAATTAGCCTTTGCTGGACATCTAAAGGCTTTTAGGGCTAGCCAACTGTCCTCAGTTCTCTGTGAGATGCCTCTGGACAACTAGTAGACAAACAAAATGCTGTGAACGTGGTATACTTAGATTTCAGTAAGAGATTTAATAAAGTAGACCACAACCTACTCCTTGGTAAGCTTGAGAAAGGTGGAATAGTGGATCTGTAGCTGGCTGATAAACCGTACTCAATGAGTAGTCCTCAATGGCAGGACTACATCGACATGGAGAGAAGTAAGCAGTGAGGTACCACAAGGTTCCGTCTTAGGCCCAGTACTCTTCAATATCTTAATGAATGACTTAGATGAGGGAATTGAAGGGGAACTCATCAAATTTACAGATGACACCAAACTGACAGGAGTAGCCAACACCCCAGAAGACAAACTCAGGATCCAAAAAGATCTAGACAAACTTGAACAGTGGACCCTATCCAACAAAATATGTTTCAATGTGGAGAAAAGCAAAGTTTTACATTTAGGCAGGAAAAATCAAAAGTACAAGTATAGATTGGGCAAGACCTAGCTTAAAAACAGTAACTGAGAGGGACCTTGGAGTCCTAGTGGACGATCACTTGACTATGAGCCAGCAGTGTGCACAGCAACCAAAAAAGCTAATACAATCCTGGGTTGCATAAACAGGCATAAAATCAAGATCATGCAAAGTATTAGTACCGCTTTATAAAACCCTAGTAAGACCACACCTGGAATACTGCAGCCAATTTCGGTCACCATATCACAAAAAAAGATGTTGAGAGTTTGGAAAAAATTCAGAGAAAAGAAACTAAGATGATCAAAGGCCCGGAGACTAAAACATACAAAGAACGGCTGAAGGACTTGGGTTTGGCTAGTCTAAAGAAAAGAAGAAACAGGGGAGACATGATAGCAGTGTTCCAGTATCTGAGGGGCTGCCACAAAGAAGAGGAGGCCAGGTTGTTCACCAGAGCACCAAAGGGAAGGATGAGAAACAATGGTTGGAAATTGATCAAAGAGAGAAGCAACCTGTAATTAAGGAGAAACTTCCTGACAGAGAGGACAATCAACCAGTGGACAGCTTGCCACCAAAAATCGTGGGTGCTCCATCACTGGAGATTTTTAAGAAGAGACTAGACAATCACCTATCTGAGATGGTATAGGTTCTCCTGCTTGAGCAGGGGGCTGATCTAGAACAGGGCTTTTCAACCAGTGGTACGGGTACCACCTGTGGTATATTGGCACCTGGCAGGTGGTACGCGACCATCTTAGAAAAGTGGTAGCGGGGGAGGGGAATGAGCTGAACCAGTGGCAGCACTGCATAAGTCTGAGCGAGAGATGGCTGGAACTGCAGGGCTGTCAGGGCTCAGTGGAAGCACCAGGATCAGTGGCACTTTCCAGCTGAACGGCGCTTCTTTGGGGCTGTCGGGGCTCAGTGGAAGCACCAGGATCAGCACCAGACTTCAGCTGGAGCTCGGTGCTGATCCTGGTGCTTCTACTGAGCCCTGAAGAAGTATCAATCATCAGGAAAGAAGTACTGATCCTGGCGCTTCTGCTGAGCCCAGAAGAAGCGCCGATCAGCTGGAATGTTGCAGCATCTCCAGGGTCTTGTGATTTACATTCAGATGCTTGGCAACTGATTCATATTTATGACGGTCAGAATGTCCCAGGGTCATGTGAAGTGACCAAAACCTGCTGCAACCACCCAGCAGATGGGGGGAATAAAAACCACCACCCCCTCCCCACTTCCGCTCCCAATCCTCAACAGAAATGCTCACAACAATGAAAACCTCGGACAGGAGGAAGAGCGCCACTGGGTGGGCAGGCAGGTGTCTTGCTCAGCTGTGGCTTGGGACACACTTTTTTCAGTGCCATTGTAACTTTAAACAGTCACTAAGCGAAATGTTGTAAGTTGAGGACTACCTGTACTTTATCACTTTTTTTCTTTTTTGGGGGGGGGTCATCAAGTTTTTGACAGCTTGCTAGGTGACTGGTGGTACTCGGATATTGCCATATCCTAAAAGTGGTACAATGGGTAAAAAGGTTGAAAAGCCCTGGGCTAGAAGACCTCCAAGGTCCCTTCCAGCTCTAATCTATTCTTATAAATAGACCCCAGGTTACCACACTTACCTGAGCATAGGAAAAGGAGAGCAATGATATTCTGAGGCCGACAGCCTCAACTGTAATGGAATGTGTGGATGACCTTGAAGGATGGGGAGAAGAGATGCTGTCTAGCCAGAGAAGAGGGGCAGGAGCTGACAACTGCTTAATGGCTAGAGGAAGAAACTGAGAAAGGACCCACCCGAATGGATCAAGCACTTTAAAAATGGCGGTGGAAAGTTGTTGTTTTTTATTTTTAGATTTGCAAAATTCTGCTCATGTAACCTTGCAAAAAATGATTTAGCTCATCTAGTTGTGTTTCCAGTCTGTTTACCCTGAAAGGCCAACAAGACAGAGCAATATAATCCAGCATGTAACTTTTTAAAAGTTCTTCCAAAGATCTCAAGAGGACGCTTGTTGGTTTTTTTCCCTCTCCCTTCCTGGTGTTATCCTCGCTCTGTCAAGTGGCTTAAGCTATAATGATTTGACTAACCCATGTCAATGTTTGAGCTTTATAGAAGCACCCAAGATTATCTCATTCAACTACTAAGTTGCACTAAAGAATTTCTGGGGGGGGGGCTGTAAGCTTGCTTCCCCACATAATAACAGTCCACTCCATTCTTCAAAAAGATCGAAACTTGCTTTTCAAGTTCTGTACTCTGATCCTCAAAAGAGCCAATAACCTTCTTTCATGTGAAGGTTCTCTGAACAAGAGGTTATGTTCTGTGCTGATAAATATTCATGGACCTCCCATATATACTATACCTATTACTACCAGGTGGGAATAACTTAAGCCTGCAAGAGAAAACAAGCATTGTAGATGCCAACTTATCCAGAAAAAAAATCTGTTTCATCTCTTCATTCTTCAATAGCAAACTTTAAATCTGC